AAAAAAGAATGTTAAACACCAAATTCAATATATTAAATATTTAAAGAGGTATCATTTAATTTTTCACTTGTTATAGGTTTTTAATTCAAACTTAAAAAATTTAAAAAGATAACTCTTTTTTATTAATGGATTTCTCTATTTTATGCTTTTAGGACATAGAATAAAGTGTATTTATTATATATTTTTATCATTAATTATACATTAATTTATATAAAAAATAAAAAAATTAACATTAATTTTAACATTTATGACACATGAATATTTTTTATTAGATAATTAGTAAAATTAATATCAACTATTAATTTTACTATGTGTATTAATGATAAAAAAATAATAAATACACCTTTATTATATATTCTAAGGATATAAAATAGAAAAATCCTTTATTAAATTACCCACAATTTACAAATCATACTATTTAAATTTAAAATTTCATAATTTCATAAGAAACTATTGATAAAGAGAATTTTTTTTTTTTTTTTGGAACTTCAAAAGGTTTGGGGGAGGGGTTAGTAGTGCTTGATCATGAATTTAGCACTACATCTCCAAACACCTTCTCTCAAGGAAATGGCTACTGCTCTACTTAGTGTTTGATATTAACAAAGAGAATTTGATGAAGGAAAAACTTATAAAAAAATTATTACATATTAATGGGGGAAGAGACAAAAAAATTTCATAAAACTTGAATACACAACCTACGAAAAATAAACAATCTTAACTTAAGATTCAATATTATTGAATCGAGCAAATGTTCTACTCTTTTTTATTGTTTTGAATTTAAATTTGAGAAAGAGCACAAAAAGAGACTTCAAATTTGAAAACCACCTCGTGAGTGTACGGACTGTGACTAATAAATATCACCGTCATGTCCGGTTAGATATTCGTCTCAGCTGAAGCTTCATTTACTCTTCAGCACATGGAAGATTCCAACACCAAAAATAAATTAGTACGCGTAGTAGTAACAAATTTCGCAATAATACATCCAAGCTATAATGTGAACTTCAAAAATTAAAATTTTAAATGTGAGTAGTTGCAATAATGCCTCCATGCTATTTAACTTCAATTAAAAAATAAAAATAATGCCTCCATGCTAAAACAACAGCACCATCACCTTTTAAACTAAATGACAGCAGAATCCGCTGCTGAACTTTGGTTTGAATTAAGAAAGTTAAAGAAGAAAGAAAAGAGATGAAGAGAGATAACTCTTTATTATATTTGAATTATTAATTTTAATAAAAGAAAAGGAAGATAGAAGAAAATATAATCCTTTTCATTAATCGATTTTCAATTCTTTTAAATTAAAAGAATTTGAAGGAATTTGTTTTATTTTTTTATTTTTTTAAAATAAATATATGAATATATTTTATATCAATTATTTTTTTAAATAGTAAATTTTAA